ACACACACACACACACACACACACACACACACACACAAATAGTAATAATGATAATAAATAGTATTAATATTATTTTTAAACAAACAAAGGAAAAGGGAAACACAGACCCCCAGCCTTTCTCCACCATCCCTTCCCATTGTGGCCCTGTGTCCATTTAGTGCTGCTGGGAAACAGTTCAATGCCCATGACGGCCTCACTGTGTGGGTTGAATCCATGCTAGAGAGAGAATGAGAAGAGGAAAATGAAATCCACCCCAGCTCTGGGGACTTCAATCAGGGTAAAGTTAATGAAAAGGATCCTGTCTTTTCCCAGGATGGTTAAATGTCTGCTCTTCTCTGGGCTAGAGGGCTGAGCAGGTGCAGGGAGGAGGGCAGAGGGAATTTCATTTAAAAGGCAAAAGAAAGAAAGTGTTCTCATCTCCCTGGAGCAGGGAGCTTTCCAGGGGCCCTGCTCAAGCCAGTCTCATTCCTGACACATGGGGCTGCTCTCTGAAACAGTTCACATTCACATAGTGGAAGATGACCCTGCTGTCCATTTTTAAAGAGCTGCCATTTCTCTCTTGGCATAAATTAAGGGTGTGTCTTTGTTTCTCTAGACTCAAATGGAGAGTCGGAGAGAGATGAAGGGAGTCCCAGCTTCTAACAGAGAGGAGAAGAAAAATGTCTCCCTGCTTCCCAGAGACCGCCTCTACTTTTCATCCTCCTTCCTCATGGAGGGGACTCCCCATCTTTCACAATGCCTCTATCAACAAGCCCTTGTGGCCATCTTGGGTCTAATACTGTTCCCCCACACAGAGTGGTCCTCCCACCTTACAACTCCATAGTTTCTAAAGTTTCCCACTGGAGGGAAGGATGCAGTATTCTCCCTCCCTCCTCTTCTCCTGCCCCATTCTTCCTCTCTGCTGGTCAATGAAAGCATGTACCACACCAGGGTAGACTTTGGTGACCATATCCCCACATAATCCTTGGCTGATACCAGACACCTCTCGGAAAGATTTTACTAATACAGGAAAGGAGAAGGACATGGGTCATTCTGCAGTCAGTCCAGAAGGGGTTCTGTCACGATATGACACTGGGAAACTTAAACCCCCGTGGGTATGCTCTGGGTCCCTGTAACACATTCATTCTTCCCAGAAAATTCAGCCCTTGGAGGACAAGGATAGAGATGCGGATGCGAGCATAGGTGTATAGGTGGACAAACGCAGAGGTGGGCAAGCAAAGGGACACATTAAAGGTGTCTCTGGGGAGAACAAAGGATCCTTGGCCAAATTTGCCCTCCAAGACATTGTGCTTTACTTAAATGAGCCTTCTATTGGGCCTTCCCTCTTTTCAATCATGCGTCCTTCTCACTTTCCATATTGTGGAGAATGGATTTTTTTTTTCTCTGTCTTTATTCTTAAGTGTCACTTGATCCTTACTTTATCTATTGGAGAGAAGCTAAATCATGTTTTACTAATTATTTCACCCACAGAAAAGACTAAAGCAACTTACATTCATGCAATGTCCCAGCAAAAACAACTATCTAATTACAAATATGTCCGAGGTTACTAGAAATGGACTAAAACCATTCTCTCCCTTGAAAAAGAAAAAGGAAGTTCAGAAACATTAAATGACATGACCAAGGGAAAAAATATGTGTCCATTATATTTTATATATGTATTTTAATATTTATATTTACCCCCCAATCAAATTTTAGATGCACACAAAATGGTGGTTGGAGGGCTGAGAAGGCAGACAAGAGAAGAAGAACTGAAGGTATGATAGGAATGAAGACAGAGAAGGAAAGGGGTTCCAGCTACAAACTCTGGAGTGACCATGAAGGACTTCAGAGTCGCAGTATGGCAGGCATAACAACAAACACTGGGATAAAGGAGCTGAAATTGAACCAACTGCTTGCTACTCTTCATAGATGTATGATACATGAAATGGTGTTATGCAGAGAGCATAAGGCATAAAGGAGAAAACGTGTGTCTCATGTCTCACTTTGGCATCAGTTTTAGGATCATTCAACCCCCTTGTGTTATGTTTTCCTACTAACTGAACGAAGTCTTTTTCCCCACTGTCTCCACTCTTATACCACCCTAGTACATCAAATTGTCATCATATTGGGGCTCTAAGAGAGAAGAGGAGACACTATTTATTCTGCTTCTCTCCCCATCAAATAACTCACAACAACAACAACAATAAAAAAAAAAAAAAACACCCGGAAAAAAACCTGTCTACACCTCTGAACGTCAGAGACATGGACAGTGAAACAGTTTCACAGTATGGCTTCATTGGGGACTTACAAATA